GAGGCAGTCCTAGTTGGCCATGGAATTCCAGAAAGTTTGGGATGGAAGGGATCTTAGGGATGATCCCAATCCATCCCTGCCATGAGCATCTTCCACTATCCCAGGGTGCTCCAAGCCCCATCCAAACTTTCCTTGGATGCAGGGTCAGCCACAGCTTCTCTGGGAATTCCGTCCCAGTCATTCTCCACCCTCCCAGCCAGGAATTCCTAATTCCCAATATCCCATCCATCCCTGCCCTTTGTCACTTTAGTGACCAGGAGAGAGAGGACAGAAGAAATTTTCATCCAGAACCAGAATTTCAACTCCCACAGGAGGGAAACATTCCCCCAGCTGGAAATCAATTTTAAAATCCAGGGAAGGGAGATTTTTATGCTTAAACTGCATAAAAATTCCCTCCAATATGGAACTGATTCCTAAAAGTGACCATTCTTGGCCCAAACTGCAGCAGTTAAAATGGATGATCCCTTTTTTTTTTTTTGTTTTCTTCCCAGGATGCTGATTTCCAACAGTGGAAGCATCCAAACATTTGGAAAGGTTCATTTGAAGCTGTTGGAGAAACATTCCAAGCCCTGCCATTCCCAAGGGGCTCCATAAAACAACAACGTTACAAACTCTCCTTTTATCCCACATTCCTTCCCGCTTCCTCAAATCCCTGTTCATGGATACCATCAGAAAGGGAAGCAAAACAAAATGTCCAAATTCCCTCTGAGAGGGATGCAAGGCTGGGACAGGGAATGGAGTTCTCCAGAGGGAAGAATTCCAAGCAAAGACCTCCCACACTTGGCTGCATCATCCCCAAAAAAATAAAAAAAAAAAACAGGATGAGCTGAAGAATTCCCCTTGCCATCCAAAGGCTGCAGAGAGGGAAAAATTCCTCTTGGAAGCAGCTTCAGGATGATGGGAGATTCCAGAATCCTTGGAGCATCCTAAATTCCAGCAGTGGGGCTGGGGCTGCTCCTGGAATAAATCTGAGTTTCCAAGGAAAACTTCCGAGCGCAGGGCTGGAACTTCTGCACCTCGTGATCCTTTGATGTGGGGAGAAGCTGAAGAGGCTCCTCGGGATCATGTGGATGTGGAGACGCTCACATGGCCCCTCTGGAACTGGGATGGGATTCCCTGGGATTATAGGAGAGCTCTCCCCCGCTCCCCAGGCCTGTGCTTGCATTCCCACCATTCCCAAAGCACAGGGAACGGGATGAGCAGGGTGGGTCCTTCCTCAGGATCTGAGCTCATCCCCTGACTGGGATTCCCCAGAAATCCACGGGAACGATGCAGATCTGGAGATCAAACCCTAATTCCCATGAATCCAAGATGAAGGGTGGGAATTGTCCACCCTCCCTCTCTCTCTGGGTGTTTGGGAAAAGGATTCCCTGGAAAAATCCACTTGGCTGGACTGGATTTGAAGCTCATGCCACCAAAGAATCGCTCCAGGCCCTGCAATTCCCATTTTTCTAGGAGGAAATGGGGGAATTAATCATTCCCTGGCTGTTGGATCTGGCCGGGGGGGACTTTGGATCTAAGGAGCCTGAGGAGTGAGTTTGGATTTTTGAGGATAAAAGGGATCCAAAATTTCTCAGTCTTGCAGTCAGGGGCAGATATCCCAGAAGAGCTTCTGGTGCCAGGGTTAAACTGGGAAAAATTCCCTTTGTTGCCAGTGTTAAACTGGGAAAATTCCCAGTCTTGTGCAAGGGTTAAACTGAAAAAAATCCAGTTTTATGCCAGGGTTAAACTGGGAAAAGTGCCAGTTTTATCAAAGGGTTAAACTGAGAAAATTCCCAGTTTCATGCCAGGGTTGAACCAGGAAAAGTGACAGTTTTATACCAGGGTTAAACTGGGGAAATTCCAAGTTTTATGCCAGGGTTAAAATGGAAAAATTCCCAGTCTTGGGCAAGGGTTAAACTGGGAAAATTTCTCAGTTTTATGCCAGGATTAAATTCCCTGGCATAAAAAATATTCCCTTCTTGTGTAAGGGTTAAATAGGGAAAATTCCCAGTTTTATAACAGGATTAAACTGGAAAAATTCCCAGTTTTATACCAGGGTTAAACTGGAAAAATTCCCAGTCTTGTGTAAGGGTTAAACTGGGAATCATTTCCTTGTGCAGCTCCAGCAGTTCAGCGTTATCTCCCTTTGATCCCTTCAGTCTGGGGGAGGAATAAAATAAATGTAGATATGGAAATAATAAAGGAATTTTAAAGATATAAATTACATAAATAAATAAAATAAATAGTGCTAAAATAAATTTATAAATTAAATGAATAATGATAAATTTGAAATTACTTCTAAATGAACACATTTGAAATAACTAAATTAATTAATTTAGTAATTATAAATAAATAATGAAATATCTTTAAATAATGAAATATCTCTAAATTACAAAATATGTAGAAAACCAAACAGGATCAGAGGCATCCCTGGATCAAGCCCTGGACACAGAGGAGACACCAAAAACCTGGATGTGGCCATTCCCAAACCATCTCAGATCCCAGTTTATTCCCATCCCCTCCTGGCACTGGAATCTCTGGACAAGACCCCTATAAAATCCCCATTTTTAATGAGAATTTTAGAAATTTGATTTTCCCTGCTTCCCCCTTTCTCCAGGGAACATCCACCACGGAGCCCTGGAATGCTGCAGGGGAGTTTTTCCCTCCTTTTCCCAAGGCCTGTGGATCCCTGTGGCCCTAAACCCACACAGATCCTGGGAATCCCTGGGAAGGATTTCCCCAATCCCAGGCCTCCCTCAGTGGGAAAAGCAGCCAGATCCCACAAAATCCCCAGCAGAGGTGGGAATAGCTGCCCAGAAATTCCCAAATTCCCCTCAACCTTCCCCTCTCTCCCTAATGAATAACTTTGGAATCGCTGCTGGAAAAGCAGATTTGGGATCCAGCTGGAATGGGAATGGGGTGGGAGGAGTGTGGGGGAGAACTGCTCTGAAATCCCTCAGCACCCTCCAGGCCAATCGCGCTCCCCTGGGATGGGATGGGATGGGATGGGATGGGATGGGATGGGATGGGATGGGATGGGATGGGATGGGATGGGATGGGATGGGATGGGATGGGATGGGATGCAGTGGGGCAGGATCTATGGGATGAGATAAATGGGATGCAGTGGGATAGGATCTATGGGATGGGATGCAATAGGATCCATAGGATGGGATCTATGGGATGGGATACAATGGGATGCAGCGGAACAGGATCCATGGAATGGGATGGGATTGGATGCAGTGGGATGGGATCTATGGGATGGAATGCAATGAGATCCATGGGATGGGATCTATGGGATGGAATGCAATGGGATCCATGGGATGGGATGCAATGAGATCCATGGGATGGGATGCAATGGGATCCATAGGATGGGATCCATGGGATGGGATGCAATGGGATGGGACCCATGGGATGGGATCCATGGGATGGGATGCAATGGGATCCATGGGATGGGATCCATGGGATGGGATGCAATGGAATGAATTCAGAACCACACCCCCCTTTCATTCCCAATCCATTTCCCTGGATCCGCTGCAATCCCCATCGGGAATGGGGGGTTCACCCCTGTGCGATCCCACCGCCCGCCCAGGAGATCCTTTGGGATTCCAGGGCGAGGGGAAGGCGGAGAAGGAGGCGGAGGAAGAGGAGGAGGCAGAGATCGCACCAAGAGCGGCCCTTTTTTTATCCCTTCCCCTCTCTCCCTCTCACAGGAAGCCCAACTCTACCTTCGCTTGGAAAGAGCCTTTCATAAACCCAGCTCAAGGCTCCCATTCACGGCCATGGAGCTGGGAAAAAAAAAAAAAAGGATTTAAAAAAAACCCAACCCGAGCAAGCGGAGAGTTTGGGGTTTCTTTCTTTCTTTCTTTTTTTTTTTTTTTTTTCGCTCTCCCTCTCGCTCTTTTTTTTTGGCGCTCCTAAAAAATAACCCAGAAATGCTCGCAGCGAAAATTTGATGTTTTTACCGTCTGCTCCCCGAGAGAGGAGAGACTGGAATTTTTCGCTCCTCAGCTCCTAAATATCCGCGAGAAAAGCAAGAAATAAAGGGGAAGAAAGGGGCAAAACGACCCAAAAAAAAAAAAAATCGCTCAGAGTTTGATTTTTAAAGTTGAGTGAGTCAGCCCCGAGCCCGGCGCCTCTCTGTGTTTGCCCGCGTGGTGCATCCCTGGCAGGGCTTGTAACCCTTTCCCAGCCTCGCTTCTCTTCCCAGCATGGAAAAACGAGCAGGGAATGCTGGATCCCGCCGCAATTCCCAAATAATCACACACACACACACACACAGCTCGCTCTGGGGGAAGAGAAAGTGGGTTGGAATTTTTTAATATTTTTTTTCGCAGCGGAGTTTTATGAATGAAAGCTCCCGGCTGAGCTGGGAGTGATATCCCAATGCTTTTCCCGGTTTTCAGGGATCCTGGGATCTCCCGGAAAACTCTGCGCCCATGTGGGTGAAAAAAAAAAAAAAAATTAATTCCCAAAATCAAAATAACCCCAAATCCCGAGGATTTCAGGGAATTTCGGAGTGAGGGGGGGTAAATTAAAAAAAAAAAAATACTCCTAAAATAAAGGACGGGAAAGGGGTGGAAAGAGGGAACGGGAATTTTCAGCCCCACGTTTGCAATCGTCTTTTCCAAACTGCAGCTCCTTGGAGGCAGAGAGGAAGAGAGAAGCCAAAAATCCCCGATTTTCCCCTAAAAATAGAGAATTCCCTGCCTGGCAGAACCAACTTTTTGGGACAGCCGAGCAAAACCTCCCCAGTGCCGCCGCTGCCCCAAAGGCAACTGCGGAGGGAAAACATTCCCAACTTTTGAGGCGTTTTGGAAATTTGGGATTTGTTTGCGTGCGGCAGAGAGGAGGAGAGGCAAAAAAAAAAAAAAAAGAAAAACCCCAAAAATAAAAGGGACGGAGAGCGGGGAGGGTGTGGGGGGGAGTTTGGGGTTTTTTGTCCCCTCGGCGAGAGAAAAGATAAAATTACTGCGGCTAAAAATAAAGCGGTGGTTAAAGGTTCCCCCTCCCTCTGCCATCTCCCACCCCTTCCAGCCCTCTCCCTGCTCCCTCCCTCCTTCCCTCCCTCCTTCCCTCCCTCTCCCGCTGCCTCTCCGTGTTTGCGTTTGACAAAGAAATGATTTGAACTTCCCGGAGCCGCAGAAAATCGGGATCCCGAGGCGCACCCGGGCCCATATGGATGTGATTTCCCATCTCTCTCCCAGATGATCCAGCGGCACCGGGAGCCGCGGCGCTGAGCGCCTCCGCTGCCTCTCCCCATGGGCTCCGCGGCGGAATTTTGGGAGCTGCCCTCCACTCCAGCCATGAGAAAACGAGGAAAAAACCCGGGATCTCTCGTCATGTGCCTCTCTGGCTGAAAGCTGGGGAGCCAAAGGAAGAAAATCCCGCGGATCCGGGGGAACGCCGGGGAGGACGAGGAGAAACCCGCGCCGCTGGAATTCCGAGCTCGCCTCCTCCCGCTTCCCTGCGCGAGGCTGGATGCTGGAAGCAGCCCCTTGGATATGGGATCATATCTGGTGTATCCCAGCCTGGGTTTGATCCTCTGCTGCTCCGTGCTCAGCTCCGTCTACGCGCTGGTGAGTCCCGCTTTTTCTTTTTTGCCTTTTTTTCTTTTCCTTTTTTTTTTTTTTTTTTTCCCGCAGGATCCGTGCGGATCCTGCCGCCAGGAGGGAGAAATGAGGGGATGAAGGATTAAAAAGCTGTTTGGGGTTGTTGGGATCCGCTGGCGCTGCAGTGAAAATGTCTGTGCTTCCCAGGAGTTGGGATCGCTTGGAAAGCTCTGGGCAGGACGTGTGAGGTTTGACAGGGATCCGGGACAGCGTTTGGGGCAGAATTTCGGGATCTGCCTATGGAGAAAGGACAACTTTGCTTCCTTTTTCATATTTTTATCCTTTTTGACCCGTTTTTGATTTTTTATTCTGCTTTTATTACTTTTTAATTTCTCTTTCATTTTTTCTCTTTTTCTTCTTTTTTTTTTTCCTATTCCTTTTCCTTTCTTTTTTTTTTCCTTTCTTTCTTTCCCTTCATTTTTTCTCTTCCCTTTCCCTTCCTCTTTCCCTTCTCCTTTTCCACTCTACTCCACCTTTGCCTTTTGCTTTCCTTCTTCTTTTCCTTCTTCCTTTTCTTTTCCCTTCTCCTTCTCCTTCTTCTTCCTCCCTTTCCCTTCCCTTCCTCTCCACCCCCTCCAAGACAATTTCATTTCCAATTCTTCTTTCCCTGCAAATCTCCTTAATCCCAATGAAACTGAGCCTCTCCTTTGGAATTCAATTTGGGAAAAACAGGGAAGTTGTAGGAACCCTTTGCTCCTTGGCACTTTCCACCCCTTCCTGCAGACACCACACATCCCAAAGCTGGAAAACCGGGATAAATCCATCCAAACTGGGAAATGGTGTGAGACCTGCAGCTCCAAAATCTCCAGGAAGCAGGGAAGGGACATTTCCTCGGGAATCAGACACTGGATGTGGAACCAGTGCTGGAATTCCCTGTGACAGGAGCTCCGCTGGCTTTCCCCATCCTTGGGATTCTCACTCCTGTTCCCATTTCCCAGCGTTTTCCAGGAAGGAGCAGGACACCCATGGAAAGTGGGATCTGCTCTCCAGGAGGGATGGAAATAGGATTGGGAGTGGGGTTGGGATCGGGATCAGGATCAGGATCAGGATCGGGATCATTCTGGCTCCAGTCAGGCCCCTCCTGTCCCTCTAGGATCCACCAGCCTGGGCCTTCTCCCTGGATTTGGTAGTTTGGAATCTTGTGCAGAGAGGTGGGGGTGGGGGGGTGTTTCCAGCTTTTCCAGTGGGAAATTTCTCCTCACTAAATGAGAAGGAACAGCCCCTTGGAAAACGATCCCTGTCTGAGCCCATCCCTGTTCAGTGTGTGGAGAAACCTCCCAAAACCCAAAGAAAATTGGGGAGATCAGGAGAACCACTTGGAGATTTGTTGGGATTTCAGGGATGGACCAGGCTTTTCCCAAATTCCCGGGTTGGATCAGCATCTCCTGACTTTGGGGCTGTGTCCAGGTCCTGCAGCACCTGCTGCCCCCTGCTCCAGAACTCCTGCAATTCCTGCTGCTTTGGGACTGGGACAATCAGGATTTGGAACCAGCCAGGCTGGAGCTGGGGGAATTTCAGGATGCAAAAAACCTGGGCAAGGCTGCATCTCCCATTCCCATTATTCCCATTATCCTCATTATTCCCATTCCCATTCCCATCATTTCCATTATTCTCATTATTCCCATTCTCATCATCCCCATTCCCATTCCCGTTCCTGTTCCCATTCCCATTCCCATTCCCATTCCCATTCCCATTCCCATTCCCATTCCCATTCCCATTATTCCCAGTCCCAGCTCACTCCTCTCTCCCAGTATCTGCTGCCTGGAATTCACAATGGGATTTCTTTGGGATTCCCCCATCCCAGGACATCCTTTCCATCCCAAGGGATGAGCTGGGAGGTGCCCCCACGTCCCCAGCACCGGCTCAGGGTGAGCTGGACCTGCCAAAAATTGGGAATGAGCTCTCCCAGAATCCCAGAGGGCTGAGAAATCCATGGGATTTGCTGGGAAAGCACAGGAGTTTCCCTAAAACCCCTCCTGGACCTGGATTTGCCGATCCCATGGATCCTTCCCAACTCGGATTTTTACTGGTTTCAGGTCCTGCTGCTCCAGGTTTAGTTAGGCCAGGTTTAAATTCCCAGTTTAGACACTTCCCTTGTTTTCCAGCCTCTTCTGACAGCAAAAGGAATTCCCAGAGGGTTCCAAATCCATCCTGACATTCCAGGAGCTGCTGAGATCCTGAGTGCCCCCCGTTAGGCAGGATAATGTCACCCCTTGTCACCCCCATCCAAGAATCGACTCCAGCCTGGATTTTCCCTGGAGTTTTTGCTTCTTTTTCCAGCTAATTGGATTTTTAAAGGGACTCTGGAAAGAAGGAATGGAATTGAGGGTGATCATCAGGGAGAGATTTTATGGATTTATCCTATAGTTTGTTATTGTTATTTATTATGAAATGTGTTACTAATATTTTTTATAAATGTTGTTGTTGTTATTTATTACAAGATTCGTTGTTGTTATTTATACAATGGTCACAAATATATTTGATATTTGGCTCTGAGGGAGTTGCTGCCGTAAATTTTCCCTTTCCTAGGAGCAACAAGGAAAAATCCATGGATGGATGGGGATGCAGGGATTTAATTCAGGCTCTAGGCTGAGCTTAAAGTGCTCCCGAGCTTTGCCCCGGGCACAGCAGAGCCCGGCTCAGCTGCGGGCGCGGATCAGGAGATTCCCGCAGCCAGAGGCGGCTCCAGGGCACAATTCCCAGCTGAACCTTGGGAATGCGGGCCCAGATTCCCGGGATCTCCGCAGCTCCGTGATGCTGGGATGGGGCAGAACCCGGAGTGTCCCAGAGCCGGTGCTGACATTCCCGGAATTCCCCTTGAAACCGGCAAGGATCGCGCCCAAGGCGCTTTTAGAGGGAATAGCTCTGGAGCAGGGCTGGGAAATCATTTCTGGGATATCCCGGGATTGGGGGCTGGATCCCTGAGATATCCCAGGATTGGGAACTGAATCTGAGCCCTGGAATATCCCAGAATTGGGAGCTGGATCTGGTCCTTAGGATATCCCAGGACTGGGAGCTGGATCCCTGGAATATCCCAGGATTGGGAGCTGGAGCTGGATCCTGATCCCTGGAATATCCCAGGATTGGCAGCTGGATCTGGTCCTTGGGATATCCCAGGATTGGCAGCTGGATCCCTGGAATATCCCAGAATTGGGAGCTGGATTCCTGGGATATCCCAGGATTGGGAGTTCGATCCCTGGGTTATCTCAGGATTGGGAGCTGAATCTGATCCCTGGAATATCCCAGAATTGGGAGCTGGATCTGGTCCCTGGGATATCCCAGGACTGGGAGCTGGATCCCTGGAATATCCCAAGATTGGAAGCTGATCTGATCCCTGGGATATCTCAGGATTGGGAGCTGGATCTGGTCCCTGGGATACCCCAGAATTGGGAGCTGGATCTGGATCCCTGGGATATCCCAGGATTGGGAGTTGGATCCCTGAGTTATCTCAGGATTGGGAGCTGAATCTGATCCCTGGAATATCCCGGGATTGGGAGCTGGATCTGGTCCTTGGGATATCCCAGGACTGGGAGCTGGATCCCTGGAATATCCCAGGATTGGGAGTTGGATCCCTGGGTTATCTCAGGATTGGGAGCTGGATCTGATCCCTGGGATATCCCAGGATTAGGAGCTGGATCTGGTCCTTAGGATGTCCCAGGACTGAGAGCTGGATCTGGTCCCTGGGATATCCCAGGATTAGGAGCTGGATCTGGTCCTTAGGATATCCCAGGACTGGGAGCTGGAGCTGGATCCTGATCCCTGGAATATCCCAGGATTGGGAGCTGGATCTGGTCCTTAGGATATCCCAGGACTGGGAGCTGGGTCCCTGGAATATCCCAAGATTGGAAGCTGATCTGATCCCTGGGATATCTCAGGATTGGAAGCTGGATCCGGATCCTTGGGATATCCCAGGACTGGGAACTGGATCCCTGGAATATCCCAGGACTGGGAGCTGGATCTGGTCCCTGGGATATCCCAGGACTGAGAGCTGGATCCCTGGAATATCCCAAGATTGGAAGCTGATCTGATCCCTGGGATATCCCAGGATTGGGAGCTGGATCCCTGGAATATCCCAAGATTGGGAGCTGAATCTGATCCCTGGGATATCCCAGGATTGGGAGCTGGATCTTTATCCCTGGGATATCCCAGGATTGGGAGCTGGAGCTGGAACCCTCCTCTGCAGCATCCTTGGCTGTCCCTGCATTCCAAGCAGGGAGGGAAATCCAGCACTGGGAAAAATCTCTGGGAAGGAGAGAAAAGTCTGGGAAATCAGGGCCCTTTTCCCTGAGGCTCAAACCCCTGCGGGATCAGGGATCATCATCCCAATCCCAGAGTTTTAGGGACAGACTTGGGCGAGGCTCAGCTTTGCTCCAGCTCTGACAATCCAGAGAAATCTTCCTAGAATTTCCCTGGAATAGCCCAATGACACCTGCCTGGGTGGAATTCCACCTGGATGGAGTGCCTGAAATCCGGCACGGTGAGGGTGGAAATCTGGGATAATTCTGTTTGTTAGTCCCAGGATTAAGGAATTAAGACCGGCCTAAGGTGGAGAGCTCTGCAAAGATGGGCTTGAGGAGAATTTGTTGCAAAAGGAGCTTTGAAAGTCGGGTCTGACACCAGCAGAGCTCAGGAGAAGGGAAAATGTGGGAATGATTTTTATTTGGGAGGTGCTGGCAGAGGGAAAATCTCCCCATGTCCTAAAAGGTTGGATTTTAGGATCTGAAAGATCTTTTCAACCTAATCCTGAGATTCACAGACACAAAACCTCCAAGGTTTTGCTCTTCTGACCCTTTTTATTTTCCCGTTTTTTCCCTCCTTTTGCTCAGCCTGGGAGATCCCAGCCCTGCCGGCACTGGAGGAGATATTCTGATTAATCAATCCATGGATTAATTATTAATAAGAATAAAACAGCAGCTTCCTGCAGGGCTTGGGACCAGAATATCCCAGTTTTTGGAGGCAGCTGCCAG